GGGCCCCTAAGTAACACATTTCCTGAATTGACCTTCTGTTTCTTAGCCAGCGAGGAACAAATTAGTTGTGGTTTGGGTGGACATCCATTCTTAGAAGCAGAAGCCACTCTGATCATCGACCATTTCCTGGAGTTTAAAAGGAGAAAATACACCCCTTGTCCTTATGGATCTTATATTTCAGTAGAGAGGAAGGAAAAAGATTAGCAGGTGAGCTGCTAATCAAGACACATTACGGCCGACCCAGGTGAAATGCGGTTAGAGTTACAAGAACATTTCTTCCTGTGTCCTGTAAAGTTCTGTAGAGAGAGAGGACTTGAGGTGAGCCTTAGCTAGGTTGCACTAAAAGATACCTAGCCCAGTCACTGTGCGACCCCCTGAGCTGGGCGCTGTGTCTTGCCCATCTTTGTTATCCTGTAAGTGCTTTTTTTTTTTTTTTAAACTTGGTTGTTGCTCTGTGGTGCAGATTACTGCAGTGAGCATGAAAGTGCTAGACCCTAGGCAGAGAGAATGTTTGCTGTGGTGGACAGGTTGAGTGGAGTCCCTGGGTTTCCACCAACAGACATTAATCAGAAAAAGCTTGGGAAAGCTTGGGAACCCACTGGTACACTAAAAGTGTTTTATGGGTATTTTGCCTGCAGTCCTGATGAAGACAAGAAGAAGGTGATAGAATCCCCAGGGACTAAATTGCAGCTGGTTGGGAGGTGTCATGTAGGTCCTAGGGTTGAACCCGGGCCTTCTGGAAGAGTAGTCAGTGCACTTAACAGTGGAGGCATCTCTCCAGCTCCCCATTAACAGTTTGCAATGGTAGAGGCCACCTTTGAAATGGCACATTTGTCATTATAGAAGAGAAAGGGTTAGGACATTCCTTGAAAGTGTTTGCACTTTTGTCTCCTTGCTGTTCCCCAAGGCTTGCCATACTCTACAGAGTTCACTCTGTCACCAAGCTACCCCTCCTCCTGCATGTCAGCGTTTCTAAAAAAGCACCTTTGGCGGCATTGGCAAATTCAGACTCTGCTGCTGCCTCCTACATAGCCTCTCGGCTTGAGTTCTTACCCTTGCGACCTGGCCCGGCCCTTCTGCCCATGCACTGATGACCCTGAGAAATTTTTCTTCTATTACTCTCTTGTTCCACAGTCATCAGTGTCCTGAAGTGTGACCTTACTCTCCTATCCTTGACTTTTGTTTGGCTCATCCCTTTTCACACTGGGTCACTAAAGGGCTCACCCTAGTCTCAGATTGCTCTCAATAACCCCAGGTGTCTCCCTCCATCTGCAGCATCGTCCTTTGTTGCTTCTGCACTTAACTCAGTCTCCATCTTTTCCTTCCCAAGCATGCCCCTTCCCTTCACTTGGAGAGTTTTCTCTGGTGATAATTCTACTGGTACTGCTGGGTCTCCACGCTTACCAGCTTCTGTGGCATGCCACAGTACAGAATTGATTACAGAATCTTTCACTGGGACCCCAGCTGTTGCAGGTGGCCCTGGCTTCCAAGCTGAAGTTACTCAGTAAATGCTGTGCGTTGACCCGCCACCTCTGCTTTACGGAAATTGCCCAAGTCAGCGTTTATCTCAGGACATTCAGTTGGTAGTGTTTTTAGTAAAAAATGCAAGTGTGAGGAGCCTGCACCTGACAGAATCTTAAAGCCAATATGTGAATAATTAGATTGGGGTAAACTCAGAAGATACCATGAGAAATCACTGTTACTGTGGTTGATCAACAAAATCCATTACAATATTAAATATTGGTTGTACCAACAGGTTTTGAAAAGGAAACTTCCACTAGGCTTTGTAGCATATGCCTGTAATCCCAGCACTCAGGAGGCCAATACAGCAGGAGATTGTGGCCTGCAAGCTAGCCTACACTGTATAAGTGAGTCCTGGCTCCGAACATTGAAGGTTGGGAGGTGGCTCAGTGGTAGAGCAGTCGTGAGACCCTGGCTTGGCTCACTGGAAACAAGGAAGTCATTCATTAGAGAATGAGATATCTTTGCACTCAAATCCAAAGGACTCTCCTCATCTGTTAGAAGCACACACAGTGGCCTAGCTTTAGCCTCTTCTTGATGGTCTTCAACTAGTGTTTCAATTTTATTCTACAGATGTTCCTATACTTTGAAGATCACGGACTAGTGACATGCTCTGCAGATCATCTCATCATTTTGTGGAAAAATGGAGAGCGGGAATCTGGATTCCGAAGTATAAAGTTATTTCAGAAGTTAGAGGAAGATGGTGACTTACACCCTGCTGTCTAGTTGAAGGAATTGGACAAATACATATGTATGAACCTTGGACAGCAAATGCAGAGCAGCACTCTGAAAACCATCCACACCGATCACTTAGAGTTGGAATGTTCTTCTTGCCTGTGAAGTTCTGTCTGTCTGCTGGCAACAGGTGTGTCCACCCAGGCACACAGCACAAGTTTGCACTGGGCCTTGCTGCCGTGGAAGTGGTGGGTGCTGTGTTCTGTTTCTTAAGGTGATAGAAAAAGGTAAACTGTAAAGTTGTCACATTATTTCGGAGTTTCCTTTGGGTTCCTTTAAAGACTTTAAGAATTGTCAGGGTAAATATATATGTTCTGCTACAAATTCTCCTGCTCGTTAGTGGCTGTCAGCGTTCACTCGAACTAAATTGAATATTAGCCAGAACAGAATAAGTACAATGATTCTTTTTGGTACCAACTAATTTAAGTCACTGAAAAAAATATTTCATGGAACTTACTGGAGTCCCTCTGTGCTCGAGGCCACTGGCATTGTCTGAGGGTACATTTCTTTCTCAGTGTGAACCGTCCTAAATAGTTACCAGCCAGACTAGTACTAGGATGTTTCTGTGGTGAGTTCTGGGTTAGGAGAGAGACTTGACCTTTCTGAGGTCAGAAACTATAGCTGAATTGCCCTAACCATCTGCTTTACCTCTGCCTTAACATGAAATGCTCCAAGACAGCCTCACTGTTTGTCTCATTGGACATCTGCTAGGACTAAACCACCTCCATCACCCTACCAGCTTTGTGACAATATTCTTGTCCCCTCCCCCCTCCCCCCGAGACAGGGTTTCTTTGTGTAGCTCTGTAGACCAGGCTGGCCTTGAATTCACAGAGATCTACTTGCCTCTCCCTCCCGAGTGCCGGGATTCAAAGCTTGTGCTACCAATGTCTGGTTCACTTTTGGCACTGAAACATAAAATGTATTCTACAAAATGGGGTAATTCGTGGACTGCTAATTTAGGGATCTTATTAAAGACAGGCAAGATGAGTGATGATTCTTCTCCAAGAGAATGTCTACATAGTTGTCTGTGCACACGCGGGATCTCTACTCCCTGGATGGATGATATAAAACCTTGCTTTCACTAGTCTCAACGTTCACAGCTGCCTACAAATACTAGTAGCATCAAGATGGTAGGTAGGAAAGCGGCAAAACCGAGGCCTGTGGAGGTAAGTTCTTTCTCGAGTGCCCATAGTCATCATTGAAGAGCCTCAAAAGCAGACAAGGGGGAAAGTGAGCGAGGCTGGGAGGGCTTCATGCTGACCATGTTGGGAAAATCGGTTCTTGCTGCTATCAGTGAAAATAGCTTCATAGGAAAAATAATATTAAAATATAAGCCAACTTAATTAGGACAAAGCAGCATGAAAATGAGAAGATTAACAGTATCTTTTAGCCAGCAAACCATTGCTATTTGAGGAGTCAACGCAAAAGGCAGATTTCTCATCATTCTTCCTGAAGAGGAAATGTGGGTAGCACCCATCAGCCAGGCAGACGTGCCGCCTGCTCTATGCATCAGCTTGCTGGTACTTTGGCTAATTTATTTTAGACTCACTTAAAGCTTTGAATTTTGCTCCCCCTTTTACTAGCTGTGTTTTCTTTTGCAAATTTTGTATTAAGCCATTAGTTAGTAAAGATGTTTCCTTAAATGATATAAGACAAAGAATTCATAGGGGTTTTGTTTTTTTATAACTGTTTCCTAACCTGTCTTGGACTCTTGTTTTGTGGTAGTAATCTATTCAGACGGAGTAGCAGAGACCATGCTTGAGTTTTAAGAGCACACAGGATCTGAGTCAAGCACTATTTGACTAGTTTCCCACCACAAGTGAGAACTAATGTGTTCTGAGGGAGGCCTTCACCCTACTATGAGACCTGGTGTGAGTGTCCTGAGGGCAGAGAGATGGAACATATAGGTGGCCATGGCAGGACCTTTGCTGTTCAGTAGTTTCATGTAGACTGTTCCTAAGACTTCAACTTGCAATTTAGTGGAAGAAAATTAGAGCTAAGGCCAGTATGTATTATGTGCATGTTTTTCTGCTTCCCTCGGCTGTCTGCACTAAATCACTATATATCATGTGCCCTGTTGCTTGTCTCTAGGTGTGTTTGTGCATCACAGCTTTGTGTGTTGTTCACAGGCTGAGTGGGTGCCAGTTGTGCCGATGATACCTGTTCTTTGCCGGGGAGGCAGGGAGGGTGGCCACCCCTGACTGACCAGTGGCTGAAACCGTGGAACCATTCTGGTCCACATAACAGTATTTTACAACTAACTTTCCTCTTTGGCAGAGTAATTAGTAATGGTATTAACGTGACTTACCTTGCCTTTGTATTTTCCTAAGCTAATATGTGTCATAGTAAACGGGAGTAAGAGGCCATTACAATAGTTTATAATAGATTATCTGAGATGCATGAACATTACCTGAGGGTCTGAGATTCTAGTTACTTGGAAGATTATGCCTCTTAGCAACTCAGATGATCCTGTAATTTACATCGAAAATGAGCAGATTATACTGAACCTTTGGCACCTGGATGCCTTACAACACTCAACATCCATGTTGTTAACATTTGAAGTTAATGTTTTATATAGGAAATGTCAAGTGCCTGGCAAATGTTCCTGAAAGCAAGTTGCTGTATCCAGAAAGTTTCTGAAGCCCAAGGAGATTGCTTTTGTCTCTGAGATCTTGCACTCTGATGTTAGTGTTCTGAGAACAGACATGGCGACTCACGAAATAAAGGACACTTAGAACCCCAGATTTGAAATTATGAAAAGTTTAGGCCAAAGAGATAAAATAAAAACAGCTGTTGGGAATGAAAAATGGCTGTAAGAATTTAGTTACAAGTACTTCACAAAAACATTTCATCACATGTACACAATGCAGCAATACGATACAAAGCCAGCTCTCTCCTCTAATCAAGCCCTCTTACTGTCTAGCAAAAATAATTTAGATGCATTTCTCTGCATGGAATTGTCATATATGTTTACGCTTTGGTACAAAACATAGAAAAAAACATTGGCACATTACATAGTGGTAAGTTGTCTTTTTTCCCCATGTACTGATTTTTTTTTCATATTCTACAGTCCAATTTTCATTTGGAAAAATGTAGCTACTGGTTCAGTTCGTTCAGTTTCTATGCCTCTTAAAAATGCATCATGGAGTACAGACAAAATAAAACTAAGGTATTTTGCTTACTTAGTCTCTGATATTCATAATACATAGAGAAGGGATGGCTGATAAAAGAGAAAGGAAAGATCTCCAGTCTGACTTTATGCAGAGCACAGAAAGTTGTGAAAAGATTTGTATAAAAATATGCACTTGTGCTTTAGAAGCCTTACCATACAATTAATAGCTTAAAATAGTATTTACTGCCTCTCCATATGCCTATGCTCGGGTATATTTACAGTCCTTGCAATCTCTTTTTACATCATTAAAGCAAATGGTATGATCTCAAATATAAATTAAGAATATCTGACCCTTAACACTTCCTCCCCAAATACAGGCAAAGCCCAGCGAACTCTAGGGGTAAAGATCCAGGGCATTTAGAATGTTTGAATAAAAATCTTTGAACAGCAAATATATATATGTATATATAAATTTTTCTTCTCTTAAATTTTTTTTTAAAAAAAGCTTGCCCACAAGCATTCAGATTTAATGGCTTTTATAGATATCTTGACGTGTAGTTGTGTCCATGAGCCCAGAGTAAGGGACAATCAAGGACCACCCTGCCCCAAGCAGGATTCCACTCCTTTCCTATAAGGTGAGTGTCTTCTAGGAAAGAGGGCTCTGCCCATCTGCGGGACATCACCAGGCCAAGGCTGTGTTCTCATTTGGTGTCACACTACCTACCAGGTAGCCTTGGGAGCCAGATGCTAACTAGTTCATTTTGTCCTCATCCTGATCTTAAGGTGGCTCTTTTCTTACACATGCCTGCTCAGAGAAGCTTTTTTAGGAATCCTTCATACTCTTGAGGAAAGTAGTGAAGCTAGGTATCAGTAGTGAGTTCCCTGGTGAAAGCTGAGCACTAGCCAAGCTGCCTGCCCGTCTCCACCAGAAGGACGGATTCCCAGGTGCCACGTCTCTGCTTCTGGTGTCCTGCCTGCAGCTACAGTGAGTCTGTCGGCTCCACGGTTTTGTAAGAGCACACACATCCCGGCCCAGGAGGCTGCCAGGCGGTTCGCTTTGTCACCGAGTGATTCAAAAGAACATTACTGATAGAATGTAACTTTCTGAAGAAATGAAATTTGGGGGCGTGCATGATTCAGGTCAGATATTAAACACTAGCTCCTTAATCTACACCTGTCATTTTCATTAGAAAGCCTCTTGTCCATGCTACTCTGTGGTTCACAGTGTCCATCACAGATCAAGAGGCCCCACTCTGGTCCGGCTTTAGCTGTCAGACGGAAGTCTCAGACTTTTGCACTTGAGGTCATCTAGTGTCTTCCAGTGTTTGTAGTTATCTGCCAAGTGCTGCATCAGGGCCGGCAGGTGTGCAAAGGCTGCAAGGATATGAACAGAATCCAGGGAAACCCATTACACTAATTTGGTTCTCAGTAGAGGAGAGCGTAATCTGCTTGCCATGCAATCTTGAGAACCTGAGCCCAGTCCCCAGACCATAGGGGGAAAAAAAGCTGGCCAAGGTAGCATGCACTTGTAATCCCAACTCTGGAGAGATAGCAACAGGTGTAACCCAGTTGGGAGGCTCTAGGCCAATGAGAACCCTGCATAAAGAACGGCTGGTTCTTGAGGTACAGCACCCGAGGATGACCTCTGCCATCTGTTTGTATATGTATCCCACTAAATGAACAGGAGAACAGATATCCCCAAGGCCTCAGGCTGCAAGTCAACATACACATGAGAACAGCTTTCTTTTTTGTTTTGCTTTGTAGTGCTAGGAGTTGAACCCAGAGCCTTGAGCACTAGGCAAGCATTCTTCCACCCTGAGCTATGAGCCACACCCCTAGCCCCAATGCATGAGCTGCTGAAACAAACAGGCTTTTTATGGAACTCTCTGGAACCAGAAATTTACATCTTGCTTAATGGAATTGTCCACTTTGGGAATCTGTCCTTTGAAACGGTGAAGACTTGCTCATCCAGGTAACACTTGTGTCAGATGGTCAGATGGTGGGATGCATGTACTCTAGCTGCCTGCCAAGGGGCTCATAGCGTGTGTGTGTGTGTGTGTGTGTGTGTGTGTGTGTGTGTGTGTGTGTGTGTATACACATATATATATTAATATTGTTTACCTTTAAGCTCATCCTATGTCTCTAAAGGTGATCTTCATTAAGTATAACAGGATCTCCTTTGTGGGTAATAAAACAACATCCGACTTACCGTCCCAAGCATCAAACATGTCCGTTATGAAGTAGTCGATGAAGGAGATCTGGGACTTGGGAATGCTGCAGGTATTACGGTCGAACACTGGCATCACAACAGGTAGCCCCTGTCTCTTCTCCTCATCAGTCTATGAGAGGGAAAACAAAAACAAAAACACCACTGCACCGAGCTGTGGGGCACACGAGAAGCCTTCACAGTCATGGCATGTTTCTCAGAAGAACCCCGGGAACAGAGTTTAGCAGTGTCCTGGGATGGCCCACGGTGACCTTGTTCAGGTCTCCTCACTCTCAAGTCCCTCTCTCTCCCTACACTTCACTTCCTCTCCTCCCTTGAACTGAGGACCTAAAGGATGCTAGGGCAGTGTTTCCCAAAGAGCTGCAGCATCACTAACCCTCATGGCACACACTGGTCCAAGGCTCCTCCTGAAGCACTGACCTCGTAGAACTTAGAACCTTCTCTGTAATCTGGGTTTATTTTTGCAAGGTTATATCTATACCCTTAGTTAGCCTACTGCCACTAACTGACATTTGCAGCAAAGGAGGAACTGCCCACAGCCCATGAGATGGAGGCAGGTAATCACTGTGTTCCCGGATGCATGCTTGCAAATTTTGGTTTGTTTTTTGTTTGTAACTAGTTTCACTTAAAAATGACCCATATGCTGCCGTGAGAATGACCTGCTTTTAAAATCTTAACCTTTCAGTACATGTCTTGTGACTATTCTGCTCGGCAAGGTGGCGAGCACAGAAAGCCTTCTTGCTCCAGCCACAGTCAGAACTAAGACGAGGACTTTGAAAGTTGAGCTGTCATCTGAAGGTTGCTTTTTTCCAGGGAGCCTTAACACAGCTGTCCAGGGGCCTGGAAATCAGAGTCTGCCCATGTCACATATGTTCCCGTGGATGCTTGAATGGTGAGATCCACATTTCCTGATAATGTCCCAGGCTCATCACAAGCTTCATTTGCAATCTGACTTTCAGATCACACTGAAAAGGTCACCCAAGTTGGAAGTTTACACCAGAGAACTGAACAGTGGCACATTCTCCCCATGGTAGTAACTAGGAGTCTGGCTTTAAATTCTTTGTGTGTGTGTCCTAGGAAACCCATTAATGACTTCTGGCTCAGCTCACTCAGTTCATCAAGTAGCCTTAAAATATCCACGGGTATTCTTGGAGCAATTCAATCTATACCCCCATTCTCTCTACTCCCTCTATCACCCCACCCCGACTTCCCCTCTCCAACACGGGCAGGCTCGCAGCTGCCTGACTTTTCTGCAGTTCAGAGGCTCCTTCCCACCCTGTCCTGCTGTTTACATAATCCTTTAAAAATATGACTCTAATATCACTCTGGAAGAGCCTCTTTCTCCTTTAGGAAAAAAATCTGAATCCCTGTAGAATCTAGAACAGATAGGTCCTTAGAGGTAGTTTTTGTTAGTTTTTAGTATATATATGTATATATGCATGTATGTGAACATGTGAGTATTGTGTGTGGCATGTATGCAATGAGTGCACATGTACAAAGCAATGTCAGGATTCCTGACTTATCGTTTTTCTGCCTTATTCCTTTGAGACAAGATCTTTCTGGACCTAGAACAGCTGGGCCAGTGCCTAGCAAACCCCAATAGTCCTGGTCTCTGCCCTCTGACCTGTTGGGGTCAAAGATGCTCACATGGCCATGCCCTGCTCCTTTATGTAGGTTCTAAGATACAAACCTAAGTCCTCATGTTTGTATAGCAAGTGTTCTTATCCCTGGAGCTATCTCTCTAGACCCCAAGCTCTCTGAACCAAAGTGTGAGCCTACCTATGTCTATGAACTTAGGAAAGTTCTGAGTCCAACAATTACAGAATTTACTTACATTCTGAGTCCAACAATTACAGAATTTACTTACAAAGTCTCAGTCTAACCCTCCAGTCTTAGAGGGCTTTGGTCAGTGTGTGGTGCATTGACCTGTTTCTTCAGAGAACCCCAAGTCTGTTCTAGCCAGGTCTGAAGTATATTCCTTCCAGAGAAGAGGCATTGGCTAAGTGTGGAACCCACAGGGTTCTATGGCCTAGGGACCATCCCCAGAAAGACAGGGACATTTCTCAACACAGCAGCACACCTGTGCAAAGTACTCCTCGGAGATCCTCCCCGCCCACTCAATGCACAGGTCCAAGGGTCGGCATGGGTTGGCAACATCAGCACACTTGATCATCATGCGCTTGATCAGGATTTGGTTTTCTGGGAAGTTCTTTCCCGTAGGGTTGCATTCACAGTCGCTGCCCTCGCTCTGGAAAACAGGATCAGATCAGGGCTGAAGAAGGCCACAGAGGCCAGCTCACCAGGCACAGAGCTATGGCTGGGACTTGGCAAAGGGAACTGTTGGATTCTTACATGCAGATATATAGCACACTAGCCTAGTCTTTAAGAACCATCCATATAGTGTAGACTTTAAAAGGCAAAACAGTCCCTGCTGTCACCCATTCACTGACTTAGAACCTTTTCTCAGACATAACAGCTATCGGCAGTGTCTGTTTTGAGCAGTTTAGAAGATTACCCTGAAAGATTACTCTTTCCCTCTCCCCCAAGTCCTCAGAAACGTGTGAAAACACAACTTTCAGTTACTTCAGTGCATCAAAAGTGGGATAATTGAGACTTTTCGATTACCTTTTTATTTGTTTTTGTTTGTTTCCCTCACTGCCTTCCCACCCCCACGTCTTAAGGCATGTGTATGTTCGTGTGTTCGTGTGTTTTCTTGGCTGGTTCTCCCTGAGAGATAATTAGTGTGAGGTGTGAAACATGCACATTTGGGCCAGAATGCAAGAGAATGTGTGTTCAGCAGCCTCTGAAAACTAATACAGTATCTGTGCCTGCTGGGGGAATGCCAGTGGCCCCAGGGCATGTAACCAGGTCTGTGAGTAGGTAAATATGTATGCATTTTCAGGCTAGCGACAGAGCCTGGAAAGATATTCACTCCAAAAGACACCATCAATTTGTATGAGACAGTTAATTAGCTCTCCAGAGCTCTGCCAAGCTGAAAGGCAGCATGACATGTAGTGGGATTTTGTTTTGAGGCTGGTTCTGTTTATTGGACCCCTGATGGGGAGGCTGTTCTGGGAGCTGTTTTCCCAACACCCTGAGACAGCATTGTTTACTGTAGATGACGTGACAGGCAGTAAATCTCAGCCCGGAGTTGGAGGCATGGAGAGAGGACCTTCCCGAGTTTAAATTCTATCGCCCTGTGTTTTCTACTCAAAACAACAGGATGCTTGCTACCCTCCATCCTTTGTTGGAAGAAAAGACCAGGCATTGTGTGTTGGAGTCTGTGAGAGCTGGGGTTCAGTGCAGGTGAGATGGGCACTGTTCCTCTCCCTAGGTTGGTCATGTGATGGTTTCTGCAGACAGGGTCCTCATTGATCAACAAGTTTTTATTCTACCTTTATTCTACCTTATGGCTATTTTCCATAAGACTGGAAACTGCTTTCGCAGAGCTATGGACGACTTATATGGTTTCAGAGGACAGTTGACTTCATCTTAGTAAATGAAGGAACATTACATAAGTATTTCTAAAGCCCAGATTCATGGTAAATTTCTTTTTAAAATTTTTGTTTAAGAAAAAATTTATATACTATATTTTGGTCATCTTTCCCTTCTCCAGATCCTAGCTTCCTATAGATGTTTCTTGTCAGTTTGTCTCTCTTGGTTTTTATTTTATTATCTTTTGAAATAGGGAAGGGGAGGAGCGAGGGAAAACATTTCTGTACTAGTTAGCTTTAATTGTCAAATTAGCATAGCCTAGGTTCTTCCAAGGAGGGAATCTCAACTGAGGGGTCACCCGGTTCCCATTTGCCAACAGCCCATCTCTGGGGGATTGTCTCGATGCCCACTGCGGGTGGCACCATCCCCCACCAAGTGATTCTGATCTGTAAGTCAACTGGCTAAGCGTGAACTGGTGAATGAGCCAGTGAGCTTCCTTCTTCCATGGTGTCTTGTTACACATCTGGGCCTAACTCCTTCTGCCACTTTACCTCAGGGCCTTTCTTTCAAGGAGCATGCCATTGCAGTAGACAGCTGTCAATGTGTTCTCATCCCCAAGAAAAACAAGTATCTGGACTTGCAGTCTTTCTCCAGCTCCAAGCTGATGATCAGGTCTCATTCAAAAAGGGGGGAAATGCTTTGCTGCTGGAGCACACTCGTGGAAACACACTGCTGTATCTTATTATTACACGGGATGCTTACCTCAGCTGCCAGTGGCTTGTTGATGCTGTTCACAAATTTGTTCACATGTTCAAAGTGTTTTGTCATCTCTGTGGCCAAAACCATGTCGATAATAGCCTGGCGTAGCGTTCGGTAATGGTTCCTAAATAAGGAGACAGAGTTCTCTGTTCATGACATGTCCTAAATCAGAACTGCCCTGCTGCCATGCCTCCTACAACCTGGGACATAGCAGAATGACCACTGATCCCAGGGTGTGTCCGTTCATCCTCCCAATCAGCCCAATGTCTCCAGTGATAGCTGACTTCTCCACATGAGTGTCAAGAGAAGAGGAAGCCATGTCATGGGGGGGGGGGAGACAGTTGTTTCCAAAGGCAGTTCCCACCCCTTCCTTCAGAAACACTAGGACAAGGAAGTGGAAGGCAGGGAGGGACAGGCCCAAGTGGCAGCCCGATGAGGTGTTTGAGTGCGTTCTACGCACACCAGCTCCTACTGCGGAGAACCGCCAGGCTTCCTTCTGATGGTACTGACGTTTCCTTCCTTTTATGTCGTTCTCTAGCTTGCAACTGATAGATGCTGCAATGCTTGGAGCAATGGCACAAGATTATCAGAGAATTCCTCTCATTTACTAACCTGAATGAAGAGGCAGGATGAGGAGCCAAGGAAACCGGCTCCTGGAAAACATTCTTTCTCTACAGGTTCTTGCCACTGTTAGAACTTGAGTCCAAATTAAACAGCCATTCTCCATAACTGTATAGGTTTTTTTTTTGTTTTCCTTGAGCCTTAACTGATAAGACAATGTGATAAGGCCCAGGCGACTGTCTGACCTTTGCTAGGACTCTGCCCTGCAGCTGATGTGTGCAGGCAGTAGCCACAGCATTGCTGGTGAGCAAGAGATTCACCTCGTCACACTGAGTGGCTCTCTGAGGAGAGCACACAGTGAGAGGGAACCTGCCCAGTTGGGCTCCAGCATCTTCACTGCAGTGGACCTCATCATGAGGAGGGATTCTTAGTGGCCCAAACTCAGATGGAAATGCAGGATGATGCATTGTCTTTGGGCCACAGAAAAGATGGGATGCCCTCCTGGGAAGGAAGAATATCTGGGCAGACTTGTCAGTATGCCGCCAACATTCAGGTGGTGCTTTCCAGGGAAAGTAAAACAAAACCATTTATTTTCATGGACTCACCAAAGACTAAAAGATGAGATTTTAAAATGTAAAAGTCAGTCTGCAAAGTACAATTAAGTTTAGATGGGCACAGCTATCTTATAATCCTATACAGTGGATAACTATCATTTCCATTTCCAGCTTCGAGGAAACAGGTTCTCCGTTAGCTTCCTCAACCTCAGTGCACAAGTCAGTGATAACGCACCTGTCAATGTTCTTGAAGATGTTGCACTTAGTGTCCTTGACAGTGAGCTGGAAGGCCAGGGCCGTGTGGTGGCTCTCCAAGACTGCAGTGTCATTGTAGAGCACAGCCAACTCACTGCCTGCATTGCACAGGAAGGAGTTGGTTCTTCCAGGGTGATCCACATCGTGGACTGTTGCAGCAATCAGAGCAGCCACCTCATCCAGCTGGTCGAGGCTTCCCTGGGATAAGGGGAAGAACACTGAGCATTACCCACGGGCTTCTGGACACCAACACCTGTCTCCATCTCTTGGGAAGAAAAGGACTTGGGGCTGCAACTTAGACAGGTTTCCTCCTAGCCTTAGCTGAAAGATGGCCTTGGGCACATGGTACCACCTGAACTCTTTGTCTGGAGCCAGTTCACTGGCTTTGTGAGAAAGAAGCTAAGCAGGCCTTCTGGGTTGTAGCTGTGACATTGCTCTGTGGGGTAGAAGTGGCCAGCATCACAGACACCCTCATCACTTCTGCAAGCCATCTTGGAGCACTTGTAAGCAGCATAGATAACTCACATTGTGGATGGGGCAGTGGTCAGAGCTTAGCAGTGAAGCTGGGCTAGCAGACTATGCTAATAAGGAACACAAATGACAGCAAGTGTTTTTCATAGCTTGTAAGTGAGTAGGAAGCTGTCGAATGGGGTGTTACATAAGACATGATATTGTGAATTCATTCAGTATCAGATGCCCACAGGTGCCAGGTACCAGGCTGAAGCAGTGATGCTAATGTGTGAGATATGCTAAGGGGAGCCCACATGTTCTGAGAGGCAAACCACAGGGCTGGGCAGCTCAGGGCAGCGCTAACTATTGAGCATCTTGTGATGAAAGGAGTGTCCTGCATCCTAGTCACACACAGCTCTGAACACTTGACTTATGGCTAGTTTGATAGAGGGCCTGCTTAGCTTTACTCAGTAGACATGTGTGACTAATGACTACCAAACTGGCCGACAGAGGTCTACAGAACAGCCAACCATGGCTTTCCTAAGAAAGTGATTTTTATTGCTGATCAGACAACTAGTGGCAGGGGAGACAAGTCTAGATGGAAGGAGTCCAGACGAAATTACTGAGAAGAGTGAGCCAAGGTGGGTGAACAGTAAATGAAGAGGGAAGTAGGCCTCAGTGAAGTCTGGAAGACCAGAAGGGGTTGTTGGCACTCCCAACTTGTTCCCGCAGTTTTGTAGGAGGGAAAACTGGTTCAGGAGGCCTGAACCTGGAGCCCAGCTCTCCTGCTGATTCCCTCACAGACCACCTCACAGCACCTGCTGGTCCTGATTCGGCTCAGAGTGGGACTTCCTGAATATTCTCTCTCCAGGAAGGGAGTCACTCCACCTTGAATCTTAGCCTCATGAGCAGGTAGGAATCCTGGCTTGGACCAGCTAAAATACAAGGTGTCCTGAGTGGGCAGCCTGGCTGTTGCCTGGGAGTTTTTCATGAGATGAAGTCTAGAGTGGCCAGGGACTGGCAGCATGTTAGGTTCCCCTTCGTTGCTGTCAGAAGAGGCCATGTAGCCTGAATCCTCCAAGCTCAGGCCCTAGAACTTTCCAAACTTGTCCCCTACTTTAAGTGATTGTACCTGAGCCATGAGGATGCAGGAAGCAACTTGCTATGGATCTCGGGTGGTTTGGCTATGGTAGATCTAGTTCTGATGGAAGTCTCAGGCCAACCTTTTTTTAGACTAGTCAATAGGAGAGAAACTAAGTGACTACAAAATACTAATTGTATTGTCTAGACCTGTCTCCTTCAACCTTACACTGATTTAACCTCAACAATGGGATTGGAATGTCTACTGAGCAACCAACAATGTGCTTTGTCCTACAGTTTTGTGAGCACTAACTGCATTGCCTGGTAAGAAATGACTGGGAAACAAGACCCTTTGTGGTGGGGGGGAGTAGGGGGTGAGCAAGGGAGGGAGGGAGAGAGAGAGAGAGAGAGAGAGAGAGAGAGAGAGAGAGAGAGAGAGAGAGAGAAAGAGAGAAAGCCAGATTTGCAGCTAGTAATAACCCCAAATCTAAGCCTTCAGACAGAACAAGGACATACCTGTATTGTTCTTTTCTTTACCAAGAGAAGTTGATCTGGCTTAAGCCTAGGTCAGTTTTTCCTACTCTTCCTTATTCAAATAGTCACTGGCCCAGATAATAAACAGATTGCTGGATGTCCAGGCCTATCTGCTTGCAGTAGGTTTCAGGAACCAGGTGACAACAGCCAGAGCATGTGCTCTGCAACCTCTGAAGGAGTCTGGCCACACTGGCACACTGTCTCTGGTTAGGTTGATACTTTGTAATGGTAACATTAAGAATTTTAGCATTTATGTTAATGCATAACAAGAGACTTCAAAACTCATCAGAAGAGACAAGGAAAGATTAGTATAATTCTAAATATTTATACATCAAGCACAAGGACATCCAATTTCATTAAAGAAACACTACTATATTTAAATCACATATCAACCCTAACACAGTGATAGTGGGTGACTTCAGTACACCTATTCTCACCAACAGGTCACCCAGACAAAACCACATAGAGAAACTCTGGAGTTAAATAATGTCCTAAATCAATGGACCTAACAGACATCTACAGAACACTCAACCCAAATAGTGAAGAATATACTTTTTGATAGCAGCCAATGGAACTTTCTCCAATATCAACTACATATTAGGACACAAAGCAAGTCTTAACAGAGAGAGGAAAATTGCAATAACTTCAAGCATCCTATTTGCTCACCATGGAATAAAGTTGGACATCAACAACAGAAAGTACACAAATTCATGGAGACTAAACAACATAATACTGAGGAAAATTGTATCAAGGCTGAAAGTAAGAAAACTTTAAACTTTTTAGAATAGAGTGGAAATGGAATAGAATGGAAATGGAAATATATGGGCATAAGGAAGGCAGTTTTAAGGAAAATTCACAGACTGCTGTGCTTTAAAAAAAAAACTGGCAAGATCTCATAACAATAAACTTGATACATTTGAAAGCTTTACAAAAACAAAAATACCCAACACCCAGAAAAAAAAATAGATAAGAAGAAATTATCAAACTCAAGGCTTATGTCAATGAAATATAAACAAACAACAACAATCACCCGGGCACAGAGAATCAGTGAAACAAAGTTTGTTCTTTGAAAAACATCAAGATTAATACATTAATTAAATTAACAAAAATCCAATTTAATAAAATTGGAGATGAAAAGGGAGACATTAAAACAGATACTGAAGAAATTCAAAGATTTAAGAACATAGTTTCACAATCTGTATTCTGTCAAACCAGAAAACCTAAAAGAAATGAATGCATTTCTTAATATCTAACAAGTTAAATCAGGACGAGGTAAATAACTTTAAAAGATAGATAACCCTTAGTGCGATAGAAGCAGTAATGGAACTCTTAACTGAGAAGAGCCCAGGACCAAATGGGTTTAGCGCGGAGCTCCACCAGACCTTCGATGAAGCACACCGTCCCTCTTCAAATTATTCTGCAAAACATAAACTGAAGGAATATCCCCAGTTCTTTTTATGAAGTCCCCATTACTCTGGATACCCAAGCCATACAAAGTCAACCAAAAAGAAAATTATAAACCAATATCCCTTATGAACATAGATGCAACAAGAAACTCAATAAAATAACTGCAAACCAAATCCAAGTACTCACTAAAAAGATTATCCACCACAATCAAGTTAGCTTCATCCCAGAGATGCAGGGATAGCTCAACATATGTAAGTACGTAAGCATAATCCACTACATAAATAGACTAAAGGACAGAAACCACATGATCACTTATTAGATTCAGAAAAGGCCTTTTACAGAATGCAACTTTTTTTTTTCCATGATAAAAGTCTTGAAGAGACTCAGGATATCAGGGACATATCTCAGTAAATAAAAACAACTTATAACAAGCCCACAGTTGGCATCATTATAAATGGATAGAAACTCACAGCAAGATATGACTGTCCACTCTACATCTGTTCAATATAATGCTTGAAGCCTTAGCTTGAGCAGTAAGAAACTGAAGGAGATCAAGGGATCAAGGCAAAGTGCTAGAGTATCCTATTGGCAAGTGATATGATTGTAATACATAAAAGTTCCTAGGAATGGTCAGGTAACTTCTACAGATTGATAAAAATGTTGGTCAAAGTAGCTGGATACAAAATATACAAAAATCAATAGCCTTCCTGTATACAGATGACAAACACACTGAAAAAGGATGGGAAACAGTACCTTTCCAAAAAAGAAAAGGAAAAGAAAGTTGTGAGCTAGCTCCAACCAAGTGCGTGAAAGACTTGTACATTGAAGAAGGAAATTGAAGACACCATAAGATGAGAGGAGCCTTCAGTTCACGGATTGGTAGAACTAATGTTTGAAAATGGACATCCCACCAAAAGCAATTTTCAGAGTCAATGCAATTCTTACCAAAAGCCCAAAATAAAACAATCTCGAACAATAAAAGAACTTCTGGAATCTCACCATTCCTGATTTGAAGCTGTATTACAGAGCTATAGTAATAACAACAGTGTGGTATTGGCATAAAATCAGACGTGTTGACCAGTGGACTCAAATAGGCTCAGGCGTAAGTTCACATACCTGTGGACACCTGATTTTGACAGAGAAGCCAGAACACACACTTGAGAAAGACACTATCTTCAACAGATGGTGCTGGTCAAACTGGATGACTACATATAGAAGAATACAAATCGATCTGCATCTCACACTCTGCGTAGAACTCAACTCCAAATGGACCAAGGACCTTGAAACAAGCCCTGATACCGAGTCTGACAGAAGAGACAACAGGAAATAGGCTTGAACTCACTAACACATAAAGGATTTTCTGAAGAGAGGCTGCTAGCCCAGGCACTAAGACCAATAATAAATAGGACGCATGAAGCTAAAAGCTTCTGTATAGCAAAGGATACCATCATTTGAAGAATGGGAAAAACTGTAATAATTATACAGCTGACAGAGCGTTAGTATCTAGAATGTACAAAGAACTAAACAAACCTTAATATAAGAAAACCAATGGCCCATTTTTTAAAACTGTAGTCTGGACTTGATGAGGATTTCCAGTACTGAGATAGAATACTGTCCAGAAGAAACTTGGGGGAGGACAGGGTTTACTTTTCAGGTCACACTCTACCACAAGGGAAGTTGGGGCAGGGACTGAAGCAGAGGCCTCCAAGACTTGCTCAACCTGTTCCCTTATATAACCCGAGACCACAGGCAGTATTGCCCCATGGGATAGGTCTGTCTCCATCAATCATTAATCAGGAAAATGCACTACAGACTTCGCACAGGCAATCTGATGAAGGCGTGCTTGCAATTAAGATTCCCTCTTCCCAAAGTTATCTAGGTTTGTGTCAAGTTCACAAAACCAACCAGGACAGAGCTAAACAAGATTCTCAAAACATGATTCACAAATGGCTCAGAAACACACGTTCAACACCCTCATCTGTTAGGGAAATGCAAATTAAAACTACTTTGATATTTCATCTTAGGGCAGTCAGAATGGACAGAATAAAAAACAAATGGCAGCTTATGCTGGTGAGGCTCTGGGGGAAGGAAAACGCTTATTTATTGATGGATGATGTACAAACTTCTACAGCCACTATGGAAATGACTGTGGAGGTTCCTCAAAAAGCTGAAAATAGAATATCTACCAAAAGATCCAACTATATCACTCTTGGGCATAAACCCAAAAGATTGTACTTCTATCTACAGAGATATTCACTCATCCATGTTCATCATTGCTGTATTCATAATAACCAGAAATTGGAAACAGCCTAAATGTCCACCAGCTGACGGATGGATAATAAAAATGTGGTACACTTATATAACAGAATTATTATTATTCAGCTGCTAAGAAAAATGAAACTAGAGACAATCATCATGAATAAGGTAACTCATACCCAGAAAGACAAGCACTGTGTATTCCCTCTTATACGTAGAAGCTAGCTTTCAGGCTTTTAGATATGTGTGCTTCATTTAGGGGTTAGAAGAGTAACCATCAATTTCTCCTAACTGGAAATGCTGTGAACTACAATAATGACCCCTTTGGCAAGATATGCCCATGGGTGCAATGGTGACAACCGCTTTTTATTGGATTCAGGGCTCAGTCCATAAGATGGAATACATACCTGGCAGTGTTAATGAGGCCAAGAACCTGAGACTAGATAGTCCGTAGCCCCAAAGGAACTACTACTATTATTCTGCTAAAGGAGCATCATAATCAAATGACTCCTGAGGACCTACTGCTACACTCTTCAGATCAGTCAGCCCCCTTAAGAGAAGCTGCTATTTACAGTACAGGGTAATTAGCAGAGACCCACAAATGGACAATGTACAGAGAGGGGAGCCTTTGCAGCCCTCAGCCTTAAATGTATCACACCCCTCCCCTCAAAGCTCAGGGCTCTGTGCTGGAGAGGGGGCAGAAAGATCTTCAGAGTCAAAGGTGGCGGATAACTTAAGCCAACAATGATTTCCTGGCATGGGGGCAGGTGCACATAGGAAGTCACAGAGTTTGTGACAGCTTGTGCAAGACCCACACAGACTCAAGCCTAGCAAACCTCTAGCATGGAGAAGGGGACGTGCACACTGACAGCTGCTGGGAGAGGAAAACTCTGCTTTCTCTAACGGATCAGCAGTGAGTGTGTCAGCCATGTTCCAGGGCAAGCCGATGTCCCATGCTCAGAGCCAGGTGACTAGTACAACTAGTACAATTTGGACTCCATGTTTCGCTGTTTGTTTTTAAGAGAGAAAGAAGGTAAAGTTGGGTGGATATAGAGGTGGGGGAGGAGCTGGAAAAAGGTGGAGGATGGGGAAAGAATAAACTCAAAGTATATTGTTTGAAATTTTCAGAGAATAAATTTTTTTTTAAAAAATGAAACTTAGCCTTGGCCTTGGAAGTGGAACTGAGAGGTAGGGCATGCCCCTTAGCACACAGGAGGCATCATTTCCCAGAACTCATAGATTATATTTGAGTTTTATCAGCCCTAAGAAATTAGAGAGACTGATGATTCAGAGACAAGGTAATAGAAGTTGCCTGCCTCACGTGCTCAGGAGCAGGAGGCTAAGGGAAGAGACTCAGCAGTGACCCCACGACAAGTGCACCCTGGTGGACTGGCCTGGGAACATGGGCCAAACTGGGCTGCCGACAACCCAGGTCCCCCAGGGCTCCTTGCTGAGCTGTACTTTCTGAATTCCTGGCAGGAACTGCTGGGGCCAGAAGTCATCTTCTGAATTGCCAATGGGTCACAGCTAGTCAGAACAGTTTTAGGGCTGATTGAGAACTGCTGGGACTCTGAGGAAAGTACTAAATTTGGAGGAAGAATAGACAGGGAGATGATGGAGATGTGGCCTTTCGTCCCAGCTCTCCTAGAGAAGGTCTGTTAAGGGAGTATCACCTTCGCCTCCACTCCAACCTGCAGCCACAGCATCAGTCCAGCCTTGGTGCTAATGACCCAGGTGCTCTGCTCAGCTAGTGTGTGGGGGGGGGGGAATCTCAGCTGTCACATCTGTCTCACATGTGTTAGAACCTACAGCAGAGGTCCAGAGGGGTGTGGCTCCAAGAGGTGTTTATTACAGACACAGGCTTACACTGTAATCATTTTTCTTTCCCTTTCTTTTCTCTTCCTCCGCCTTCTCTCTCTCTCTTGTTCTGTCATTCTTTTTCTTTTTTCTTTTTCCTTTCCCCTTCCTTCCTCCATTCTTCCCTCCCTCCTTCTCTCCCTTTCTTTCTCAAATAAATGCATTTTCTTGGAATGCATTCTTTGATGTATTGTGAAACTGCGAGGATGAGTGGTTTTTTTTTGTTTGTTTGTTTGTTTTTTGTTTTTTTTGTTTTTTTTTTGGTTTTGTTTTGTTTTTCCCTTGGCAAATCTGAGAAGTGCTCTCTACCCATTTCTGTTCCCTCTACTTATCTCACTCTCTTAAGTATCAGGGTCTTAGTCCCTTCCTAGTCCTGTTCCAAAAGAATAATCCAGTGGCACTCCCCACAGATTGATGTTGGTGCAGTCTCAAGAGAATGTCTTTTAAGAAAATCTTAACGGGGCTCATCAGTGCCGGGAATCAAATCCAGGCTTTTGTGTGTTAGACACATGCTGTGTCTCAGTGCCACTCCCACTTCTAAATTTTAAGCTCTAGTCTGAACCATAGCAAAGTAATCAGAGTGATACTGTGCAAGTGATGGTAGATGAAAAGGGAGGGTGATTGATCCTCCCAGGTTCCCACTAGATGTGTGTAGGGTCACCCTCAAACCAGTACCTGGCAGAAAAGTACTGAATCCTGAATGAGACTAAGTGATGTGAGATTCACAATTATGCCAGAGTCACAGATATACACACCCACACCGACCCAGGATGCACATCAGTCAGGGGAAAGCTATGTGATTCCTATTAGGAACTTGACATAATGGTCAAATTCTGACACTAAAACTTAACCCTGTGTCCCAGCAACAGTGTGCTTTAAATTAAGTCTGTCCTGAAACTCCCATTTCCCAGAACTGGTAAATAGTTAAGTATGGGTTCATGAATCAGCCACAGAAAGTCAGTAGCACAATTAATATTATAAGCATTTTAGAGTTGAGAGCTAGGAGAAAGTCTGTGTCTAAAAGTTTTACAACCCCCACCCCCCCAAAAAACCCCAACCCCTCTTGTCAAATTGGTTACGATATTGGTATTTGTCTTATTATTTACTGAGATTGAGTTCTTGGAAGCCCACCCTAGACAGCTAGATTGTGATTTCTGGAGTCTACCTTCACTCTTTCCTTTCCAAGGAAGAAAGCTGTGGCATGTAGGACATCGGCAGCATGGGTGGAATTGTGGTAGGCATTGGAGGAGTGGTAGTTGGCTTCAATCACTTGCAGCCAGGCCCGAAGAGTGGTTTCCGTGCAGTTTAAAAATTCACATACTCCAAACCGAGAGAAGACCTTTAAGCCCAGGTACACCAGTGGCCTGAGAAAAGGAAACAAACGCTGGTTCACTCAGTTCAGTGGTGCAGAAAGGGCTTCCTTTAATGGCATTAGAGAACAGAGGAATTTGTGTGTGATCGCTCAACATGCTTGGGGCACAAAAACATTGGCCTTGGTTCACCAGCCCCTTCTTTGCAACTGATGGATGCCTCATGAAGAGTCAATCCAGATTGTTTTTAGGTTATCTGTAAGTCACAGAAGCTCTGTTGGCCCCTATCCACCTCCGTGTGACGAGTCCTGCATATGATTTAGGTCTTTAAGAAGAGCCTCGGGGCAAAAGGAATGCTTTGAATGGTTTGAGCAAAATCACCTCCCTTAGAGTTATGTTACTGTATAGATGACTAGTTCATATTCCAGGAAGAAATGTCTTCTCCTAATACAAGAGAAGCGCCTCACCCTGCTGACAGGATGGGCTCAAAGAAAGTCAATGTTGCTATCAAGTCCCTTTGTGTTGGGTGGGTGGGGAGAGAGGGAGAGGAATTTTTGTTGCTCAGGCTAGTCTTGATTCCCTTGCCCCACTCTCCCAAACTGTTTATGTGTACGATTGAACCTGACTTCCAGTCCATTTTTTAAGATTTATGTATACAGTGTCTGCCTGCATGTACACCTTCAGGCCAGAAGAGGGCACCAGATCTCATTACAAGTGGTTGTGAGCCATCATGTGGTTGCTGGGATTTGAACTCAGGACCTCTGGAAGAGCAGCCAGTGCTCTTAACTGCTGAGCCATCTCTCCAGCCCTTCTAATACACTTTTACAGGGCAGAAGGTATGAGAAAACTTCGAACTCCCGGCTCATGGGCACAAAGGAAGTAGATCTTGTGCCTTACCCACAGATAAATCCTCTCCATACAAGAGCGTATTTGGGGCACATAATTCCATCAGTTTCTAGATATGAAGACCTTGAGTATGGCTGTCACTCCCTCCTCTTCTGAACCAGAGATGTCACATACCTTTTATGTGTAACTGCTTCCAATTCAAAGATGTTGAAGTCCCAACTTTCCTCATTGTCCAGTAACTGGGTGATACTAGGGGGGACATCATTGATGGTTATGGGCATCGCAAGGTGACTGTGACTCTGGTGCACATCTGAGCAGACATGGGGGTGGAGGAGGCAAGTTAGGTGTGGATTCTTCCGTGTCCTAAGCAGTCCATTATCCTTAGGGTTGTTACTAGAAACAAAATCTTCAACTTCTGTTGGGAGGGAGATTTCAGTACCAGGGCTCTTCTCATGTTATGAAACCTCAAGGCATAAGCAGGAAAATAACTCTAAGGCGCATTTAAATGTATGGGGAATGGCACCCTTACCTAGCAATGCTGTAAGAAATCTGTTTAACCAGGAGGCCTCGCTTCAAATGTACACCACAGAGGGGAATAAACTCATGGCACCCATTGGAAGCAACACCAAGGTCATCACGGAATGGTCCCAACCCTGGGGGCAGCACAGGCTGAAGCTAGGTTATCAGTAACAAGTGAGGCGTGAACACTTACTCTTTGTGAACACATACTCATTCCCTGACAGTCTTCTCAAGCCATCCTGGAAGAAAGAGATGCTGTTAGATGCATGCTTCGTGTCCACCATCATTCCCTTAAGCTTGTTCCTTAGCCAGAGGCTGAATCCAGGCTGGCCCAACCTGCAGTCTAGGGCAAGGCAGAGCTCAAAATGTAATTGCAGCGGTAGCTAAGAGACTAGGGACACCCTGTCTTCCATAGTTCTAGTTCCAGCGGGGTGAGGGGGTGGAGAGAAGGGACTGAGTCATGAGCTGGTCAGGGTTCATAGTTGAGCCGTTCTCATGTCCACTTTCTCTCCTGGCGTTGTGAAGCCACATAAACAGAGTCACTAAAGTGATCTTATTTTGGATATGTGTGATTTTAACATGTCCCAAGTCCCTTATCCGTACAGAGACATTTTATGTTCTCAGGTGAACGTTATGAAAGGACTAAGAGCTGTATTTGAAGGGAAGCTTTGTAAAGTCATTTTTAACCACTGAGCCTTTTTTCCTGACTACATTTTCTGCTGCAGAGCATGGCCGCTGCTGCTGAGCTTTGAGAGATGTGTTTCTGGGCCTGAGGTTTTGAGGATCGTGATGGGTGATCTTGACTGTCAACTTGAGTGGACCGAGAGCTACCTGAGCTATTAGTAAATTACAGCTGTGCGAGTGGCTTTGAGGACTTCCTAGAGCTTAGTAGATCAGAGCGCTCTGATCTGATGGGCGGTTCAGTCCACTGACAGACTGAACAATTTGATAACTATAGAAACCGATGTGAGGTGGCAGAATTGTGTAAAATGGGGCTGGCTGCGGGTAGGAGGAAGTAGGTCACTGGGTCTTCAGAGACCTTCTCTTGCCCTGGTCCCTGCCTGTCACTGTTCAATCTGCGTCCTGCACACTACGATAGACTGTCACGTGTGAAACTGTAGGCAGAAATCCTGCCTTTTAAGCTGCTTTTGTCCTGGTCATGACAACGACATGACCAAGAGAATAAAAGTGGACAGGATTTCGGTGTCGGCCATTTGCTGGCTCTTGAGCTTCGACCAGGCCCTGGATGTACCCGAACCTTTCCTTGCCTCTGCTCCTGTGCCCGGATCCCTCACTATTTGGATCCTTGTGTAAAAGTCCCTTAGAATTGCTTATTACCCCTAGAAAATAAGTGCTGAACTTTAAAAGTAGTATTAATTAATGCAGGACTCCCTTGAAGTCACACTTCAGATCTTTCTGCAATGATTCATCTTCAGAAACAGATGAGCAGAAAAAAGCTTCAGGCACAACTATTAACGCCTCTGCAGCAAATGTGCATGCCTTGGTTTTCTCCACTCCCCTAACTCTTATCCAAACGAGGCGGAGTCGCACACACACTGGCTCCTTCCAACATGCTCCAGACAAAAAGCACAAGATGGTACAGTAGTGTAGGGTCGCAACTTGTTTTTACACACAGAGACCTTTGGTTGGAGCCCAGAAGGGATTGCCTCATACCACCCACTCTTTAGAAACTGATGCTGATGCTGCACTGGAACAGGCCAGCCAGTTCCAGCCTGGCCACCAAGAACAACAGAAGGATGCTCAGAGTACAGGTGCGAACGGGCTGGGCAGCCAGAAAACTCAGCTTCTGGAGGCTGGCTAGAAAAAGGAATGCGCAGAGGCAGGCCTAACTCGGGGTCCTGTTTCTTTCTAGAGCACCACCCCAGCTCGGCTTCTGAGGAAGAAGCACAATGAAAAGTTGGACTTTTCAGTTGCTGACAGGTGATGTTCAAAGCCAAGAGCAGGGTAAGGAGGACCTTAGCCATTGGCATCTAGGTCCACAACATAGTACGTCTTTGATTACTGGCAGGCACAGTCCTCTCCCTTCCCTGCTCTGACCCCCAATAGCACCATTCTGCTTTTGTGTGATTAGAAATGGAACTTGAGCCAGGCAGTGGTGATGCACACCCTTAATCCCAGCACTCAGGAGGCAGAGGCAGGAGGATCTCTGTGAGTTCAAGGCCAATCTGGTCTACAGAACCAGTTCCAGGACAGCCAGGGCTGTTATAGAGAAACCCTGTCTTAAAAAACAAACAAACAAACAAACAAACAAAAAAAAAAAACTAAATGGAACAGGACTCTGTCACTGGAAACACTATCATCAGGTTTGTACCTTTCATTCAACAGTCATTCCTTGGATCCTCACAGGGGCTCACCTACAGAACCATGCCTGTCTTGGTAAACCGTAGGGATCCTAAGTATCTTCTATAAGATAGAACCATAACTACACATAATAAATGTGCAGCACTCTGTATAAAATCTTGGGACTGTTTATAGTATCCTACAATGCAAATGCATAAATGTTCCATACAAATGTACCCCTCCCTTCTCCTTCCATAACTCCTCTCTCTCTCTCTCTCTCTCTCTCTCTCTCTCTCTCTCTCTCTCTCTCCTCTTCCCTCCCTTCCACGGTCTTACTGTGCACTGTGCATTTCAGGTGCAGGGATAACAGGGTGTGTGTGTGTGTTGTCTTGTCCAAGTCTCTCACGCACATTTGTATCTCCATCACCCTCTCCAGTTCGATTGGTTGAATTCACAAAAATACAGAACCCATAGATTGGGAGGGGCTAACTCTGTAGATACAGTCTGATGCCCAAGAAAATGTAGCTACAATCTTCAAACCAAGCCTTTTAATTCAGACAGAGAAGACCCAGAATCAGGAGCATACAGCCAGCCACTCTCTGAATATTTAGCCCTTAGTCACCTGCCACTTTCCTACTCTAACAGGACTTCTCAAGGATCTTTCCATGGTTGAGGTTAGTTAGTTGGTGGAAAGATAAACATCTTGGATATGACCACTAAGACATTAACAAGCTGCCTCAAGACACGCTGATGCCCATCTAAACAAGGGTGCTTCTGCTACCTGAGGCCACAGTGCATCCTGAAGATTCTGGGGGGTATTTGGCCAATGCTCCATTTCTGGGGGTTCCTTATCACTTACGGTCATCAGGCCTCCAACAAGGTCACTGGTGTGAGGATCTTCATCTTTGGTTCCCAGCTGAGGGGAGTACAGTTCTGTGGTCCGTAAAATTTCTAGAACTCTGTCCAAGGCTTCTGCTACTGTAACTGGGCTGTTTTCTTGAGCTGCATTGATTATATTGATAACCTAAGAAAGCAAAAAGAGATAGAATAAACTTGAGGACATTAAGATACTACTTTTCAGAAGTCAGACAGTCAGAAGAATTGGTGACCACATGCCTAGCTCAGAGGATGGGCCGACTTCTCCCCCTTCTGAAACATGCATGCTCTACAGCCCACACTGCCCCATGGCATCCCGCCCCAGGACCCAGCTTCCCAGGATCCCTTGCTCACAACCTTCCCTAGCTCTCCTCCATGGGTTGGAGCTCCATGGACATAGGTTTGGGTCTCTCACTGTATAGCCACTCCAGAAATGATCTTTCATTTCCATGATTCTACATACACATAAGGAGACTTTCGGGGTTACCTTCTACACCCCAGACTTGGAAAGCTTCAAAAGCCTTCTTGACTCACCCACTATGGTATCTTCTGTGCCTAAAATCAAAGCCCAGCCTCATCCCCTTCATACAAATGAAGCAAAGGGTAACATGATGAGGGGTCAGCTGTTCTGGGCTGCAGACAACTACTCTTCAACCCAAGGCCACCTCTGTCACACATCTTCCCTCAATCCTCAACCCATCCTTACAGCTCACCAAGTCCAAATGATTCTCTCCCCCCAGGCATTTTCTGATCTATTTCTTTCTCCCTACCTCCACCACCTCAATGCTGGCCAAACTACTACCATCTCCTGCCTGGAATTCCAGAAAAGGCCCAAATGGCCTCTTGTATTGCTACCACACCCTACCCATTCTTAGCATGGTGGCTGAACTCTTTAGAGGTGCATGTGGGCCTGACTGTGCCATGTTTAGCTAAACTCCTTCAAAGATTATTTACTATACACGAGATACAAATCATCTATTTTTGGCCCAGGCGACCAGAATGAAGGGAGCTACCATAGCCCTGCCACAATCATCTCACTTCTGCTGGCCACATCCCAGCCTTCCTGGCTTCTATTCAGTTCTGTGGAACTTCTCTGTGCACCTCAAGTAATGGACCATCTCTACGCTGATGCTTGGCTCCTGACCCAGAAGTCTTCCTCTGAACAGTGTGACTCTCAGGCTTAGGTTTTGTTTTAAACTTCTGCCAGCCTACCTCTAGACCTACTCTGACATCTCTCACAGAGCCCTTCACAGTACTGACTGTATTATGTAACCGTGTTTATTTATTATGTGTTTGCTTAATACCAGTTTTTCCCACTAGATCGTTAACTCTGCTATCAGTAGAATATAGTGCTAGAGCACAGCCTAGCTGAGCATTGGAGGTGGCAGCTGTCACTTACCTTTGTGATGGGGGCCTCTATGGTCATGGAGTGGATCCTTGCCATGGAGGGGTAGCGGCGATTCTGTAGGCTTGGAGCTAGAGAGAAAGCAGGACAGGTTTATCTGGAGCTAGTGATTCTGTTTAGACTAACTACAACTGATAGATGAGACATTGTTGTTCTAGGACCTCCTTACTCACAGTTCAGTGTGTTTGACCTTCCAGTGTCCCCAGAGGGCTGACCACTCAGCCTCACAAGTGCAGAAGGTCCTCTGCCTGAAAATCTGGTGGCAGGGGGCTCCCCAGGGGAATTCTGAGAAGGCTTTGGTACTGATGCCCCATCTCTATAACCCAATGGTATCACAGAACTTTTCCACTAGAGGCCCTTTCAGAGTCCTGCCTTTTCCTTCCAAAGCCACAGGGCACATGAGTGTGTACCTGCCCCAGCCTCGGCCCCTGGCCCTACCCTACCCCAACCTCAGCCAGTCCCTGCCTTGACCTGGCCAAGCTCCTACCTCAACACTAACTCCCCCAATCTCCCCTCCAACCCCCCCCCCGCCGCACCTCAGTCCCAGCCTCAGCCTCAGCACCTACCCCAGCCCCTTCCCCTGCCCCAGCCCGGCCCCAGCCACTGTCCCATCCCCTGACACAGTCATAGTCCCAGCCCTGGCCTGGTCCCAGCCCCTGCCCCTGCCCCTGCCCCTCTAATTCCGTGCCCCTGCCCCTGGCCTTGGGCTGCACTGCAGCTTCCCAGGCACCTTCTTCCCCTCAGGCCCAAATGAGACACACCTACAGCCCCTGGTACCCCTGTGCCTCTTATTCTCCAGACTCCAGGGAATGACTTTGCAGGTTGATCCTGACATTTCCACCCCCACAAATCCAATCAGTTACTTGGGCTTGATTCATTAAACTCAGTGTTTCATGAGATCCTGACTCACAGTTTCTGGCCTTTTGCTAATGGGTGTGTGTTGAGACTAGGAAGCCAGGACACTGCCTGGCCCTTGCCACCAGCACCCACGGATGACCTTGCCTAGTGACTGAAACTGCTTGCTTGTGTAGTAATGTGATCTGACACACTTTTGGGCCATGAAAGAACCAGCCTATGGGCCCTCCAGGGAGGCTATCGAAGGCCAAGGGATTTTATTTACTTAAATCCTGAAACGTTTTCAGTTTATTGGAAGAAAAGTCTACTCCAGTTGAAATCTCTTCTCCTTGGAGTTTCTGCACTGATGAAATGTTTGCACATGTCCCTCGGTCATTTTCTACACCTTAAAAAGGTCAAGGAAATCTGAGAAACTTCTTACCATCGCTGCCGCGAGAAGATATTGATTTCACATCAATGGACTCTTTCCTCCTGCTCTTGTGTCTGAATGAAGGCGGCTCTGTGGAGTTCAGATGAGAGACAGAGGCGGTTAGCTTTCCGTGCATCAGAGTGTAAACTCACACCTTTCCCCTCATTCTCCAAAGAACACGAGTGTACATTTTTAAGCTCTAGAAACTAAATTCAAGAATCGAGAAACTGCTTTGTCTTCAAATTCACACAAAGTGATCAGTCATTCCAGTATGGAAACTAGAGGCAGTGCTTATGAAGGGCAATAGTCCCATAACTGAAATGTCATCCTGAAAATAAAACTTGAAGGAAATGTTTTGGGGGTTCATCTTGAGTAATGGACTACGTTCACCTGGCTAGGGAAGCTCTCAGGGGGAAGATCTAGAGAAATAAGATCCTTGTGAAATCACAGATATTTGCATTGAGAAGCAAGTTGGGACAAGTTTGGGATACTTCTGAAAGTTCTCTGACAGTGGATTTCATCAACTGACTGTGTCCAGCTGAGCATGGGAAGGGAAACTCAACCCTGAAATGTTCTGTGATGCTGATGCCAAAATCACATCAACAATGAGCACCAGGTTGTTAAAAAATGCCATGGCGACAGTGTTGGCCTTAGAAATGTGCGCCGTGGACCATTCACGTCCTTCGAGTAACTCCCGGATGAGAAGAGAAATTTACCCATCCAAGGAGAAGGCAACTCAAGTGCCATCAGGAGTAGTGCATCTCCCAGGTAATATTAAATAGGCAGATTTGGCAGGAAAACCACAATGCCACATCGCTTGCTTCCATAAGAATTTCCAGTGGCATCAAAAAGGATGAGAAGGCCTGGGTAGTCTAAGGGACCTCTGACAGTGGAACCAGGATGTATCCCTGGTGCACGAAAGGACTTTGGGAGCACATTCCCTTAACCTAGAAGCAGGAGGGAGGGCCTAGACCCTACTCCAAATGACTTGACAGATTTTTGATGAGCCCTTCTAGAAGGCACCACCCTCCCTGTGGAGTGGGTGTGTATGGGGGGGGATGGAATGGGGAGGTCAGGTTGCATGGGAGGGTGAGGGAATTGGGATACATATGTACAATAAGAAAAAATAAAAAATATTAACAGTAACAAAAAAGAACAACAACAACAACAACAACAACAACAACAAAGGGTCAGAGATGAGAAAGCCTAAAAAGCCTAATCTAATACTGAAGAAACCAATTCTAGAGCCTTGTCCATGTTCTGGTTCAGTTTGCCAAAGAATATTTATATAGCCTTGGAGATGTTACTTAACTTTTCTGCGTCTCAGAGTCTGCACGGGGATAATTACAGTTTCTCATTCAGTGGCTTTTGTGAGCAGCCCTTAGAACAGTGCTTGTCACACACAGAAAGCCTACAGTGTGTACCTGATATCAATTACATTGATTCATTTGTACAATGCACAAAAACAATTCAAAGCTAGTGCTATTATTCCTCCTGATTTCATCTCTTAGAATTGGAAGACTCTACAGCATAGAGCTGGCTATGTGTCTGAAGAACTTATTCTTCAGTGAGGGTCATTTAAGTCAGAGAGTTCATTTTTTTTTTTTTTTTTTTCTTCTTCTCATGTAGCTCTGGCTGCCCTGGTACTCACTCAGTAGACCAGGCTGGCCTTGAACTCAGAGATCTGTCTGCTTCTTTCTTCTGAGTACTAGAATTAAAGGTGTGCATCACCACCATCCGGGCCATTACTCATTTTTTAAAAAGGTTTGTTTGCTTGTTTATTTATTTATTATATAGAGTGTTCTGCCTGCATGCATGTCTGCACACCAGAAGAGGGCACTGGCCTCGTTATAGGTGGTTGGGAGCCACCATGTGGTTGCTAGGAATTGAACTCAGGACCTCTGGAAGAGCAGTCAGTGCTCTTAATCCCTGAGCCAGCTCTCCAGCCCCATCACTCATTCTTAACAGACACCCATAGAATGAATTAAAAATTCCAATCATAGAAGAGAACTTAGTGACAAATGGACTATGCATCCCATAAAAAATAGTTACTTCCTGAGAGCCTACTGTGCATCAGACGTTATACTATGTACCTTAAATATAACAATGACCTCATTTAACAATGGCATCCTTTCTGAAAGCTACGCAGTCCTATCCCATGGCACCAGTAAGGAACTGAAGCTGGAAAGACTAGGAAATTAGCTCAGGGTCAAGAGCTGTTAAGCAATGGACCCTATGCATTCCAGGAGGGAGGTCTTTAACCGATGGAGGAACTGTAAGCATTGGCTGGGTGTCATGCTGGGCACCGTAAGGGACAAGGGGTTGCTTCCTGCAGTGATTTTTAGTAGTGCTTTCTAAATGTGACATAAATTAACTGAAATATTTAAGAAAGGGTGCCCGTACATGAGTCATCATTGGCTGTTCTAGTCTAGAAAACATTTGAAAGGAGAATGGCCTACAGCTAAGTTTGTCTTCTTTAGTTATCATAACAACGAGAAAGGTGTTGTTAATTCACTTTGCAAAGGAAATTCTGAAGGTCAGAAAGAGCAAATGAATTCTTTCAGTGTAGGCTAACTGTAATCATCCTGGAACCAAGGAGAAGGCCTACATAACCAATCCAGGGGCTACTCAGGTGCCCATGCAGAAGGAAATGGTAGGCAGCTATTTTTACAGGAGAGAAAAATTGCAAAGCTTGTAATTAACTTTTTTCTTCTCCGGTGGTCCGATAATTCTAGGCCTCCCATCAAGTCATCACTTTGTAGATAAGGAAACCAAGTATCTGAGTGTTGTTCAAGGTCTAAGATATGAGCAGATATGAGCAGGGAGCTGAAATGGGAGCCCAGTGCCTGGTCCCCTGGGCCAGCATCCAGCCACATTTCCATTAGTAAAAACAGTCACCAATTACTGAGAAAGGGAACTGAACATGGGTAATCCATGACACGGCTCACACCTGTGCCCTAGATAGTCTGCCTTTCCCCTCGACCACTCTCTGCTGGGTTTATACCTGTTCTACACGGTCTCTAGCCAATAAAGGAAAATCAAGAAGGGAAGGACTTTAGGAGGAAAGGCTGCCACAAACCATGAGACAGGAGATTGGTAGAGGACCACCGCTGCTTCTCTGGTTCTCCAATCCTCCAATACCAGCACTTGGATTCTAGCAATCCCATTCTGGGATGACAAATGTCATCTGAACCCCTTCTGAGCAGTGATAAACTGGGTGGACAAGGCACCCCTCAGCAGAGAGTAGAAGCCATTGCTCTCACCTGTTTGAGAGTTATCCCCAGAGTCACGATGAATCCTGTGAATCTAGAGTTGTTCCGAAGTTTGGTAAAAGAGAGAGAGATTTTATGTCATTTGTTGAATTCCACAACTTAGTGAAAAGGTTCTGAAGGCATCATCCAGAAAGCAAGGTGTTGCACAGATTGCATGAAGAGATGAGAGACACACAGCAAGTGTAAGACTACAAATGTTCTATTGCTTTCAGACATTCAATCAGGAGCCTATTACGAGCAGGAAAGGGCCCAAGGAAGGAACTCTCCAGGCAGACCTAAATCTCCCGCTAGCTCATCTGGACAGTCTGTAGAAATGCAGAATGACAAAGGCCAGGACTCAAGTCAGATTTTAATATGTAACCTGTTTGTTTCAGGCAGGTCATATTGTTTCCTGAAATACAAAGTTCTGGTTAAATCTGAAGCTTCTGCTTTTAGAACTGTTCCTTAAATGCTCCTCAATTTCAGGCAGAAGCAATTGAACCATCTCTTCACAAGGCCTGAACTTTAGCTGCCGTTTTGCACCTAGTTCTTTTCTCATTATCGGCTTTGTTTGATGCTAATGATTTGGTGCAAATGTTCAATAGACATCAGCCAAATGACCCAACAAAGTCATCAACACTAGAAAGAATACACATGCTTTTCATGGATTCTGCATCTCTTGCATTATAATTGACTAAGGCACTGCCGGTGGCCACATTGTCATTCACACTTATAATCCCACTTCTTCTCTGATAAATCCATCTGCTTCCATCCAGGGCTCAGACTAGTCAACCTGCACAGCACTCAATGAAGAGGCAAGGTTAAGTTTTAACAAGATGGGCGAATGCGGGGGACTGTCAGGGAAGGAAGAGCGGTGTGACTTAGTAACATCAACTGTGATGACCAGAAAGCTCCCTTATGTCAGACATAGGCAATCTGTCCCAGCCTTCATTGAGCCATTGAAGAATAACCAGGTAGGGGCTGGAGAAATGGTTTATTCAGTAAAGTGCCTGCCATATAAGCTCTGAGTTCATATATCTGGGACAAACATAAAAATCTAGGTGTGGTGATGTGTATCTGTAATCCCAGGACTATGGGATTGAGCAAGGCAGATTCCTGCAGTCCATTGGCCAGCTGTATAGCTGAATCCATAAGGTACAGATTCAGTAAGATACCCTGTCACAAAAAAAATAAGGTAGAGAGTGACCTAGGAAGCCACTCATATCAACTCTGCCCTCCACAGTCACCCATGTGTGAACCTGTATGCACACATGCACACATGCACATGTACATGCACACAAACACACAAAACTAGCCAGACAAAACTGAGATGTTAAAATAAGGCTTCCTACAAAACCCTTCTGCTCAGTGCATTTCTCATCCTCACAAAACGTCAACACAGAAGCTATGGCCCATCTGTGATATCTTGGTCATTTAGGCATGGCTATTGGCTCTCACCCCATAATTAAGGTACCTTTTACTATTTCTTCCATGGACATCATTGCATGTTTTCCTTCAGGAATAAAAACCACGTTCTACAATGCCCCAAGCTCAATGCACATTTTCATATGTTCTATGCAAATAAAACTCGTGCTTCATTTTTTTCTCCTCAATCAGCTCTCCATTAAAAGCTTTTTGCCTTTAACCAAGATACATACAACTCTAGGAGCAAAGTCCATGGCCCCAGATCCCCCTTCTCATCTCTCACAGGTCATCAATACGGCTCCCATCACCTATACTGTGGGCCATGTGTTCTGTCTGGAGTGGAGCCAGCTCAGTCCTGATTTAGGATTAAAAAATGTGTCCTAGCCACTGACAGGGTGGGGTGGAGTGGACCAGGGAGGGAGAGCACAGGCACAGTCCCATTGCCTCGGATGGCTCTGGCCCATCTGTTTCAACATGCAATGTTGTACTTGGCACTTTGAGCTGAGCTTGCCGGCTCCACATTAGCACACTGGCCTCCGGTGGGTTCTGTAGGCATTGCCAGCAGCAGAGGCTAGAGGTCCTCTACACTTCACAACCACAGCCAGGCTGTGTCAGCCTCCACACCAGGCTGTGGACCTACTCTACAATCCTCTGCACAGAGGACAACTGGAAGCTCTCTTTCTGACACATCCCACCAAGCTTGGATTCTTCATGTAAGTTCTCTGACTGATGATCTACATGCCTCATCAGAGTACCCTCATTTTACAGGACTCACAGGATGACAAAATCTCCACTCAGAACAAGAATCTCTCCCAGAGCTCTATAAGTATTAATGTTTATAACTCCATAAGAATTATTCCAAAATGTTTTCCCTCATAACCCTTGGCAGAACTCATGGAGAATACAAGCAAGGAATGGGTAACTCCATACTCTTTGATGGGTTCAGGAGATGCTCGGGACTTTAGAACCTAGGGGCAAGGAGAGGGATGAACTTGGTCCTATTACAACAGTCGTTTTGCATGTTAGCCAAGTGCTGGCAGCTTTCTGCTTGCAATTGCATCATTACAAACCTGAGGGGAAGCAACTATTCCCTTGGAAATGCAGGACAGGGAAAACTGAGGTTTAAAGTTTAGTTACCACACAGGTAATACATAGAACTATTAACTGTTGTTTCTCTAGTTTGATAGCCAATTGCCTTTGTTACATAGCTCTTCAGCCAAAGGCCTTGAAAGTGTCTTGTCATCTTATGGCCTGGAACTACCTTACAGGTTAACATAAACAGCTATTCTTCAGAGTTCTGGGAAGGTCTGAGTTTTGTCATGTGCATTCTTTAGCAAGATCAGGATTCCCCATCCTCATACTTGTCATTCTCTAGAGCACACAGGTTTCCCTTCTTGTAAAGCTTAAAGTGTAGTGTGTTTCTGTGTAGGGATGACTGGGGAGGATGACAACAGGTGCTGCTACTGTAGCTACAGGGTTTGAAAGCAATGGTTTCTGTGAATTCTACTGTCCTTGGTTGGTAAAACTGTCAAGAACTCAGAGCTGTGATTTCCCAGCAAGTCTTAGATGCTTACAGTGTGTGTGTGTGTGTGTGTGTGTGTGTGTGTGTGTGTGTGTGGTGTATGGAACTATAATTATAATTTTAAACCTTTAATTAAAATATCGATTTCCACAAAATGTACTGCCCTGTGCATAATGCTTTATTTACTAATGCCAGATTATGTTCAACTTCTGATCTACTCCCATGTTGGAAGGAGGATAGAATTACGCAATCCCTTTGAATACCCAGTCTGGAATTTTTGTATCAATTTATATGAACATCTCCACATTGTGTGGAATATTACCCCAGGGAAACAAAGAGGTTTCATCACGAAAGTAACTCAGTCAAGTATACTCTAAGACACCCAAGGCTGGAAAAGGCCCAGGGCTCCATTAACAGGGTAACAGACTGAAAAACAGAAAAATAGACAGGAGTTGAATTCAACTGATGCAAACAACCCAGGTGAATCTCAGAAACCTAGTGATCAGAAGAAGCAGAGAGAAGAGCACACATTGGATGGAGCTCTAGAAAGTCTATTATTACTGTAGAATAAAGACTTGTTGGAGCAGCGGGGGAAGGGTGGGGGTAGAGACCGGCTATGAAGGATCTCAAGGGAACTTTGAGAGGGTAAAATTTGTTTTGTTTTGTTTTGTTTTGGTGATGTGGGAGTTAGAGGTATGTTCTCAGTTGAACTCAGGGGAACCTAGAAGATCTGTACATTTTCTACCTGAAAAACAAAACAACCACTAAAGTCTAGTTAATATGCATGCTGATAGGACAAGCAGTGAGCTACGCTGATGTGTGCCTAACACTTAGCAGTTGGCAAGCAACAACAAAGAACAGAAGGCGATGAAGGATGGTTTCAGGACCACAGATGGAATCATGATGGAGTCACGTGCTAACCGTGGGACTGAGGTAGTGTGAGAGAATGGGTACTCACATGTCTTCCAATTGTTTTATTTTAAAAAATTTAAAAACTTAAACTTATCACAATTTTTTTTTAGGTACAACCTTTTCCTAAGCTGTGTTGTGTGAGCCGGGCATTGGTGGTGCACGCCTTGGATGCCAGCACTCTGGAGGCAGAGGCAGGAGGATCTCTGTGAGTTCAAGGCTAGTCTGGGCAACATAGTGAATTCCAGGACAGCCAGGGCTATGTAGAGAGACCCTTCTGAAAATAACAGCAACAATAACAACAAATAAGAAAATAAAAACTTCCACCTCTCATTGGCCTCCGCAATGCATATATAACCAGGTAGTGACATTCTGCTATGGGGCCTGGCTCGGCTGACTTGACAGCTAGCTGTGTTACTGAGCACAGCCATGCTACCCTGAGCTCTCAGGGCCAGGCTATCCTGGCCACTTTCCCATCTTCTAATTCTGCAGCTTTTGTTGTCTCTGGTTTGTATGGGCCAGGTCTCCGCTGGGAAGTTTCTCGGTCTGCTCTCTTCTCCTCACCCTGTCCTGCAGGGCTCGCCCTTGTGAGGTTCCCACCACTAAACTCTAGTTAATATGCATGCTGACAGGACAAGCAGTGAACTACACTGATGCGTGACCAACACTTAGTAGTTGACAATCAGTAACGCTTCCCCCTCATGCCAGTCATTCATGAGGCCAAGTCCGTCAGTCACTTGCTGTCACTGGAGTCTTCTTAGAGGTTTCACACAGTCTGTAACCTTACATCTCTGTGACTAATCTGTCCCTTGCAGTTGGGATGGAAGTTATGTGTAACTTGACTACTGTTGTGTATCTAGTGCTAACAGCATCTGGGGGGCGGGCATAGTGGCTTGTTATTAGTGATTTGGCCATCACACTGGTCTGTTAATTATACTTGACACTTTTCTCACTGAAAATACTTATTCATAAAAAGTCTCACAGGAAAACATGGATAGAGCAATTTCTGTAAAATGTCACTTTTTAAAAGTGAAAAGCAAATTCAGTACAGGAAAAAAAAATACACCCTTATTTTCTGATAATGCCAAATCTGATAAAGGTGAGATATCAAATACCAGAGCCCACCCTCAGCCCTGTCTTGGCTCTCTGAGCCTCTGGGAGTGTCTCTGTGACACATTGTACTGTACCATCATAAAATG